GATGGCATGTGAAATGCAACTTGGTATATGTATTCAAATAGGATTTTAAATACAATGCAATTAGTATGATGCGCTGAGCCCGGTGCATGCAAAACAGATGAATGATGCACGCATGCGAGCATAAGGTATGCTAAGCGAAATATACCCTAAAACTAACCATCGTAAGTGGTTAAGTAAAAGGGAGAAAGAAATGGGGGTTGGAAGACATGCATCACACACACGCACGCTTATTACAACAATACGCCCTCTCGTAGGAGGGTCCGAATAAGAAGCTAACTAGCTAATCTAAGCTAATTAAACTAATTATTACAAATTAGAACTAGCTAACTAACAAGCGAACTAATTAAGCTACTACAACACAAATTGAATAATTAACGCATTAACTAATTAGGTACAAAACCAAAGCATAAACTAGCTAAGGAAAGCAATAAACAGAGGTCCTCGGGAAGAGGAGTGCATGCATGCCTGGTTGCCTCGTTCGGATATCCGTCGCGATGCCCCGATTTGCCTCTGTTTGCAACTGTTCTCAGAAACTTGCACCAAGCTCCAGAAAGCTTCTAACTCACCTTGGGGACCTGTGGGAGGGTGGCTAACCAGTTGTTGGTGTTTGCAGCCACCTGCCGACCACTTTTTGCTACTGCAAACCAGAAAAAGTGGTCGGCCAGCTAGTTTTTCTGGCTGGCCGACTAGTTGTTGCTGCATTCCTCTAGTTTGCTGCAACAGAGAGCAAGAAAGGGCATGGCAATGTATTTGCAAGGTATGTATGCACAACCACCCTCCCTATCATTTCATAAGCTCAAGGAAGCGCGTGTAGTTCTCGACCCTTGGCCACCAATCGCGCATTTCGATGCATGATGGCCGAGAGGCGAAGTTGCACGATTCAATGTAAAATGAATGCACAAGTAAACAACATAAGGCCTAAACTCTATCATGTATGATCAAGAGCATCAGTGACCGAGAATAAGGCACGTTTCATCACTTCAAGTATAAAACGTCCCTCGTTTCTCGTGTTTGGACTAACACCTATTCCAAACACAATGCAACACATAACATGGCATACACAATGCGACTCAAGCATGCAAACATGCAATGCAACAAAAAAAGCATGGGAACAACATGGGAGGGACAAAGCATGCAAACATGCCATACAACATGAACAACCTAACAAGGCTAATGGCATGCACAAATGCACAATGCTAATGCATGCATAATCTTACGCAAGACAACATAAGCATGCAACAATATGAACAATAACTAGCATGCACAATGCAAATGAACATAGCATACACAAATGCAATGAACAATATGGCATACTCAATGCAAATATGATCATGGCATACACAATGCGAATCAAGAGCATGGCATGCGCCAATGCAAACAATAACATAACATGCACGACACGATGTAACATGGCATACACAATGCTCAATGGACTTAAACCAAAAATGGACAGACCTCAGCCATGCCCAAATCAGTGCCATAACAACAAAATAAAGGCCCAAAAGGCAAGACATGCATGCACAATGCATTGGCCAACCAAGTAGGCCTAAGAGCACAACCCTCCAGAAGGCTTAAGAAGTGATAAAATGTAGAAGTGTAACAGCACTAAATGCACTTGAAATTAAGTAAGAAATGATGCCAAATCATTTCAAACAAAGCAAGCATAGCATGCAAGGTCCAAAAGCATGAAAAGCTAATAAGGAGGACTACAAAGGAGCATGCAATACATGGTACAGAATGCATGAACCAAACTGGACAAAGCTGAAATAGTCACGACAATAACCAAAACATGCTAAGTTAGAGGCTCAAAGGTCAAGGCATGCAAGCATACAAGCTAGGCCATAAGCAAGGCAAATAATGCACAACCTTTTAAGCACTCAAATCATGAAGAAGTGGGAACATAGTCATGCTACATGCTCTGAATGAAGTATTAAATGATGCCAAATCATCTAAATAGCTCAAAGATAGCATGCATGATCACCAAACACAAAAGCTAGCAAGGTCATTGCACTACAGCTATACAAACATTGAAGCATAGGAAAAGGCAACCAAAATAGTCCTAGAACATGTCAAAATGATACTAAAACATGCATGGAAGGAAGTCAAAACAAGCTAGCATGAAGGCATAAGGCATGATGCATACAAGGCAAAATTAAGGTGGATTACACTACACCTATTAAGACCAAGCATGGGATGACTTACCAAACAAAAATCAGAGTTATATCATGGCAAGATAACCCAAAAACACATTGAAATGATGGCTC